CCTTGTTTTTGGGCAAATGCTGCCCTTTTGGTCTCATTTGGTTGACTGAGAAGTACATTCCTCATGGGTGTTACCATTCACTTTGTAGGCCTATTGTTTGGTTGAAAGGTTCTGGAGTGGGTCCAGTTCCAGGTTTGAAAGGAGCCATAGTCTCGAAGGCCCTACCACTCTCAGATCAGTAAGTCTGTTACTTTAGGATTTTGAATTTTGTTCTCCATTTTTCTCCCACTCTGTCCAGGACCTTCTGTGGTGATCCCACTCAGAGTGGTCGATAGTGGTAACTGAGCATTAGTTTTGATCTTAGGCTAGGACGTGGTTCATGTAGTCCATTTGTCCCTTGGATTAATTGCTTGAGTCTTTGATTTTCTTCACTCTTCTTTGCTCCAGATGCAAAGAGACCAATAGTTGCATCATTGATGGCCACAAGACCTCAGGTGCTACTCACCAAAGTAGGGGATAGAACATTGTCTTTATGGACTTAGTTCACACCAATTGACCTAGATATCCCCAGACTATGCTCCTAAGCCCTTTATCTCAGTGACCTGGTCCCACAAAGTGTTTGGTTATGGTTAAGAAGTGTGCATAAAAATTTGCAGCATACACAGTATGTAAAAAATATCCTCTGCAAACCCTATATATATGGCTGTGGGTATGCTGTCATATACCATCCCACACCTGTTCAGCTTACATATCTACCTATGTATTCATTCATAAATTAGTATTACTGCTACTGCCGGATTATGTATGTAATAGTATTTACCATTAGACGGCTGGCGGTTCAAACCCACCAGCCACTCCTCGGAAGGAAGGTTGGGCAATCCTACTTCCGTAGTGATACTGCCTCGGAAACCCAAGAAGGGGTCGCTGTGAGTCGGGGCTGACTCGACAGCACATAACAACAACAACAACCTTATACTCTTGCATACTTCCCAGTGTCTTCCTTTGCCTCGGTCTTGTGCTGATCTCCCCCTTACTGTGTATTGCCTTTCATTCATTCACCCATGTAAATACACATCTACTATCTAGTTATTGGTTTTCCCATTGCTCTCCTCCCATCCCTGGTAACCATCAAAGGATGTTTCTTCTTGTGTGTAAACCTTTTCTTGACTCTTTATAACAGTGGTCTTACACAGTACTTGCTCTTTTGTGATTATTTTATAGCATAGTATCTTCCAGGACCATCCATGTTGTGAGATGTTTTGTGGATTCACTGTTATTCTTTAATGCTGCATAGTATTCCACTGTGTGTAGGTACCACTTTGTTTATCCATTCATCCGTTAATGGGTACTTAAGTCATTTAATCTTTTTGCTCCTGTGAGTAATGCTGTGATGAATATGGCTGGGTATATATTCAAATATTATTTTAACCACAAAAAAAGTCACTAACATGCTGCAGAACTACCTACAGTTGTTTTAATTACTTTCTAAGACTCTCACTTTCCAAGAACATTAGGAATGAGCCAGAACTTCCAGGACACCTTTCACTTAACGTGAAGATTACTCCTGCTCCCACTTTAATCTCCAAAGTCCCAAATGAGGAAAAGCCCTATGAATATCTGGATCACATATTTACCCAACTCATAAATACATTATAAAGGTGTATATCCTAGTCTGAAAAATGAGCATGCCAGAACACTTAATTCTGTCATAATTCTTGTTGATTTCAATATTCAGAGATGATCTTTCCAACTCGAGAGTTGCTTTAACTCCTCTCCTGTCCTGCCTCAGCTAGTCATGCATGTTGTTTCTACTTGTCATTACCAGTAACTGTAGCTCTTCCAAGTCTCGATTTTAAGCACCATTCTCTAAATACTTCGACATTTCCAGGTTATTCCTTCTAGTACCCTGACTCTAAACATACCCAAGATCCATTTTGACCATCCTTCCTCTCTCCTTAGGCTCTTAACCAGTTGCCACTGAGTCAATTCCAACTCCTGATGGATGACTCCATGAATGTCAGAGTAGAAATGTGCTCCATAGGGGTTTCAATGGTTCATGCTACAGATCACCAGGCCTTTCTTCCAAGGCACTTCTCTGGGTGGACTCCAACTTCCAACCTTTCAGAGAATAGCTGAGTATGCTAGCTGTTTGCGCTACCCAAGGGACTCCCTCATGTTCTTACTTCCCTGCTTAAACCAGTTTCCATGGTGTCAATTCCAAATCATCGTGACTTCCCTGCTTACTGTTTAAATTCCACAATTATTATAACCTTGCTCTCTCTTCGTGTGGTCATACTCTTGGCAAACCCACAACTTTCGTTAAATTTCATTCATCTATACTCTATGCCTGCACCCATGCAGCCTTACATGTCTGATGAAAAACACACAGCTATACTTACTGATCTCACTTGAAATTCATTATCACTTACCTTGAGTCAGAATCAACTCCATGGCAATGGGTTTAAGTCTTTGGAACCCTGACTGGGTCCTTAGTTTTGCCCACTTCCCAGGGTCATATACTCTCCCTTTCTTCTAGTCCACAGCATGACCATTCCAGTTTCCTGATCTAACTACTGTGGGCTACTTCCCCTGAAGCTGAAAACTGAGCTCCTGACCACCTGCCTCTGATCCTCCCAGAATCTTCTCCTATTCCACTCTTCCAGCTCCTTAAACCCAAAGTCTTAAAAGTTCTTGACATTTCCCTTTACCTCACATTGCACAACCAGTGTTTTGGCAAATCTAGCTGATTTTTGTCTTTAAAATACACCCGGAAGTCACTACTTCTCATCACTTCTCTTCAGTTGCCTCCTCAGCCCCAGTCACCACTCTCTCAAAGGAGACCATCCAGGCGCCTCCTACCTGTTCCGAGTCCGCCTTTGTCGCTGCACTTCTGTCTATGCATCCCAGCAGCAATTAGGGTTTCTATGAAAACTACATCCCCGAGCTTGCAGGATATTTTGGGTTTCCATTCTTCTTCCACTTTAATAAAATACTACTCCTACACTGCAAAAGGAGCTCTGGTAGCAAAGTGCCTAAGGCACTTGACGGCTAACCAGAAGGCTGGCGGTTCAAACCCACCAGCCACTCCTTGGAAGGAAGATTGGGCAATCTACTTCTCTAGTGATACTGCCTCGGAAACCCAGGGAGGGGTCGCTATGAGTGGGGGCCAACTCGATGGCACATAACAACACCACCACCACTGCAAAAGGTAAGTCTACCGCATACCATCATTTCCAATGGTTTTCTGAATAATTGTGACGAATCTTGCCTTTCATATGCAAATACTTTAAAAACGACTGCATGTATTTTCAAGGGCACATTCTAGGCTACAAAACAGAGCCGAAGTAATTGACTTTCACAGGATGCAACCCTAGGACAGCCAAAATGATACAACTGAGCTAATCAATTACAGCTTTATCCAAGTATTTAGTTCAGCATCATCACCAGACCTCTGAACATGTCTTTATAAAAAGAGAACAGACATCTAATGTTACAAATTCATTTTCTTTACCATTTCTTTAGGAATCCCAATATGGCAAATTTTGTATTTTAAAAATAAAATAATTTAACTAAAAATGTCATATCATATTAAATTCTCAAAGCTTTTAAAGCCCAATAGTGGTTTTAAAAAGAAATTAAACAAAATGCTTTCATTGGAAGAATTTTTAAAAATCTATACAACTCAAGCTAATGAAGTATTTTATTACACATAATAAAACTGGTGTCTTTTTAAAAAAAAAAAAAAAAACAGTTCCAGGCCCAGACATCTGCAGGACTATGTGAGGAAAGGATCCCACTCGAGTATAATAAGCAATACTCTATTGAATGAAGCCATAAATCCATCCTACTTCCTACAGTAAATACTGACGTTCATCAGAGCCTTGAAATTCCTGCAGCATCAGTAAATGCGTTTTTCAAAATATTACAGACATGCTTATTATGCACAGGAAGATAGAAAAACTTAAGACCGTCACTGCACACCATATGCACTCCCAGCTTGTCTATTTTACAACCAGCTAAGAATCACTGTATCCAAAGAAAGTATTTTAAAATAGTATATGACTCACTGGTAAGTGATT